AGTACATTCTGGATGACTGCTCATCTAGGATGTTACAGAAGAGATCCTTGAACTGTTTGTTATGGGGTGGACAGACAGCTTCGGAGACTTTCAACTCAGAGGTTTTGTGATTCTGGGAGGCAAGGGGTCTGCCCTGTATCTGGCATGGACCCATAAGACCTGGGCTCAAATTCTAGCTGTTATCATCTGTTTGACATTAGAGCAAGGGTTCTTTTTTTAAAATCTTATTTGATATTTTATTTTTCCCAATTACATGTAAAAACAATTTTAACACTCTTTTCAAATTTTGAATTCCAAATTTTCTCCCTCCTTCCCCTCCCCCCCATTGAGGAGACAAAGCAATTTGACATTGGTTATACATGTGTAGTCATGCAAAACACATTTCCATGTAAGACACTCTTTGAAACAAAACACAAACAAAAAAACCCTCCAAGGAAAATAAAGAAAGTAAAGAAAAATATCTTTGCTCTGCATTCAGGCTCTACCAGTTCTTTCTCTGGAGATGAACAATACCTTTCCTCATTAGTCCTACAGAGTTGTCTTGGATTATTGTATTGCTGAGAATAGCTAAGTTATTCACAGTAGATCATCATGCAATACTGCTGTTACTGTGTACAATGTTCTCTTAGTCCTGTTCACTTCACTTTGCATCAGTTCATGTAAGTCTTTCCGTATTTTTCTGAGAGCATCCCTAGAACAAGAATTCTTAAATTGGGGTCTATTAACTTTTTTTAATATCCTGATGACTGTATTACAAAATAATTGGTTTCCTTGGGAATCCTATGTATTTTATTTTATACATTTAAGAGCTTTATTCTGAGAAGGAAGTCCAAAGCCTTTGCCACACTGTCGATAAAGGAGTCCATGGCCTCCTTCAGACATTCTCTTAATCTTCTCTGGGTTTCAATTTCCTCTCCCATAAAATAAAGAGGATGGACTCGATCCTTTCCACTTCTCATTGCTATGATCCTACAATGTAACCTCTCTGGGCTTCACTTTCCTCCTCTGTAAAATGGGGACAATGATAATACCCAATGTCACAAGGCTGTTGTGCTGATCAAATTAAAGAAAGTCTGTGAACAAACTAAATAATTCTGCAAAGTACTAGTTGTATGTAAGGAATTATTATTAGTATCACTGTGGTTATTATTAATGTAGTGATGGGTGAAGGTCTCCTTCCTCCTGGGGATATCCCATTAACCTCCCTTCCTCCTAGCCAAGAGGATTCCATTGACTCATTGGGATTTCAGCTTCCCCTATGGAAGGGAGAGGAATGGATCAAGGTGTAGAGGTCCGATGGTTTAGTCCCCTTCATTTATCATTTTGGGATCTCCATGGAAATCCAGAGAGCTTCTTCACAGATTGCTCCATAAAAAAAGTCAGTTTCCCTAAGCCCTGCCCCACAATAGTCTCTTCAACTGTGTGGTGGGGGGAAAGGAGTCACACTCATTGTACTCTTTCCCACCCCCCTCACCCCAACTCCATCCCCTCCATACATACACACACACACACACACACACACACACACACACACACACACATGCACACACCCAGCACTGATGTCAGCTCCTGGGAAAACGCCTTCTCACCTCTCCTGGGACTGAAATAGAGCTGGGCTAGGAAAACTGCCTGTCACGAGCCAGCTGGCACCACCACCCTCTTAACTGTGGCCTGAGTTTCCTGAGGAGCACGGAACGGCCTCCCTCCCTGTTTTAGCCTTCCTGTCCCTCACCTTGCTTGGGGTCTGAGGGTGAAAGATTCAGCTGTGCTAATCTGGTGCCTGCTGCCTGTGGGCTGCACCCCTGGCTCTGCAGTGGGTGCCCAGTCTCCCGCTGGCACCTTGAGAAGGGTGGACTGTCTCTAGGCCGCCTCTTCTCAATGACCCTGAACAAGGCAGGTCTTTCACTTCCCAGATCAAGAGCCAAAGCAGTTGGGACCCAGGAGCTCAGGTCCCCTCCCAAGTTATGTTATTTCTACCCCACTCCTACCCTTTCCCTTACCCCAAATCAAAGATGAGGGAGTTGGAAAGCAGAAGAAATACCTGTTGCCTCAGCCAGAACTTCAGGACCAAACTCCTACCAAGTTCCCCCAAAGCAAGGGAACCAGCAGTTGGGAACTTTGGGAAGGCTGGTGGAGGTTAGAAGAATGGATAGGAGCCAGGCCCTACCTGTTTGTTCTATAATTTCCCTGTGCAGAATGGGAGATACCAGATGGCCCTCAGGGAAGAACCTAAATCTAAGGGGCTTGGATCAAGATAAGCACAGTGGCTTATGTTTATGCCTTCATGACAGCCTTAAGGAGGAGGCAGCATGAGGCTAATTATTATGACTCCTATTTTATGCATGAGAAAGGTGAGGCTCAGGTCTGAGACTCAAACTCAGGGCTTCTGGCTTTGTCTAAGAGAAGGCTTACTAGCCTTCTATTCATGGATCTATTCATGGAGGCACCAAGTCAGTACTGATATGGGGGGAAGACTTAGAAAGCCAGGACTTAGGTATGCATCCTGCCCCAGACACTTGGGTGGGATAGTACTGGACCTGTGATTTTTATCAATGAAGGGAACTTCCAGTAAGGAAACTCTCCAAAAGCAGCTGATCACCATTTTTTTTCTGCAAGTTATTTTTTTTAGGGAGTTGCCTTGAGGCACTGGGAAGTTGTCCGTGGTCCTGGTCACAAACTAGTATGTGTCAGAGATGAGACTTGAACTCATGCCTCTGGAACCAAGGACAGCTCTGTATCCACTCTGATGTGCTGTCCCAGACCTTTTATACTCAACAATAATGATGAGACATTTATATAGCTCTATAAGTGTTTAACATACATTATTTCATTCAACCTTTCACTTGCAAAATGGAGATAATAATAGCACCTATTTCACAGGATTGTTGGGGGATAAATGAGATAACATAAGGCACTGCTATATAAGTTGGCTATTATTATTAGAGAGGCAAAGTGGGCTTAGTGGATAGAGTCCAGGTGAAGAAGCCAGAAGGATCTGAATTCAAGCCCCCTTCTAATCCTATTGCCTATGTGAACCTGTGTAAATCGTGTAACTACTCAGGGGTGTTCTCTAAGACTAAATTGCAGAAAAAGTCAGGAACTACATCCTTAGAGAGGCTTTCAAGTGGTACAGTGGATAGAACACCAGATCTAAGTTCAAATCTGACCTCAGACACTTATTAGCTAAGTGCAAGTCACTTAATCCTGTTTGCCTCAGTTTCCTCATCTGTAAAATGAGCTGGAGAAGGAAATGGTGAACTACTCTAATACCAAATGGAGTCAGGAAGAGTTAGACATGACTGTACAACAACTTCCTTAGAGGAAATTTCCTTACATGTATATACAAATGACATCAGAGGTCCAGTCCCTATGTCCTATTATTATTATTCTTGGACTTGATCAAGTAAGGTTTCCTGGAGAATAAGGTAGAGGGCACCCTGAGTGGGTAGAAGCAATGAGCCTACGGGATCAGGGTAAAGGGGTGCTAATACAAAAGTTGGTCAGGGGTCAGTAAGAGACCAAGGAGATTCATGTGGGTTGATGAGGAGCTGGGCAATTTAAGAAGTGACCGATGGAGAGAGCCAAGGGAAGGGCAGCTGAGACCCCTTCTATGGCAGAGACACCAATTCTTGGGTCAACTCAGCAATGACCCACTTTGCAGGGAGAGCAAGTGAGTATGTGATTCCTGCAGGAAGGAGGTGGAGAAGAGAATTGATCCTGGGTCCCTGCCACACCTCCCCTAGTAACCAGTAGCGTCTTTCTTGCTCCCCTGCTCCCCCACATTGGTCTTTCTATGGTCCCTTTCTCTGCCTCATTCAGTTAGTCGCTTGCTCCCCACCCCTACCCTTAGTCTCCACGTTGATTCTTCCTCTGTGGTCAGTTTCAGTGGACCAGAGGGCTAGATGGGATGAGCCCTGGTATTCTCCCCCTCACCCAGTGAGGTGGCTCCTCCTCAGCCTCAGTGACTCTCCGAAGAAGGTCTCTAAGAGTGAGAATGGGGAAGTCCTAGTCTCTGTCCCCCTTGGTCCCAGAGCCTAGCCTGAACATAGGAGCAGCCCCTTGGGACAACGTTGGGATGTTGTGATGAAAAGAGGTGAGGATGTCTCTCCTACTCACCCTTGCTCCGCCCCCCCCCCCCAGTGTTCCTTTCTTTAGGGGTCTGCTCTCTTCTACACCTCACCCCAAACTTATCTCTATGCAGTGCCTGGCTCCTCTTAGAACGCAGCTCTGGCTTGGGTTCCCTAATGAGGGACGGGGGAGTATCCTCTTGTCTCTGGACTTGGGCAGAGGTAGATAAGCAGAGGGAATGACCTTCCCCTTGATGAGGAGCAGGAGGGGCTCTTGGCGCATGGCCTGGGCACCTCTGGGGGCCGGGGGAAGAACCATCCCCAGCCCTGCGAACCTGCCCTCTGGACTTGGGAAGAAGCCGGGTGCCTGGGGAGAGAAAGGAAGGGGTCGGGTGAAGCCTGAAGCCGACGCTAGGGAAGCAGAGGGGGCCGAGGGGGAGGGGAACTGGGTGGCCGCCTGTCTCTTTGTCCTTTCCCTCCCGTGGTGCCTCGGCTGGGCTTTGTCCCGGCTGCCCGGGTGGCCAGGCATTGCCCCTGTGCTAGTTCGGGGCGGGGCGGGGCGGGGCGGGGGAGGGGAGGAGGAAAGGAGGGGGAAGGGAAAGGGGGGGCGGGCTCTTTCCTCACGTGCTCCCCCAGCTCGGCACTTAACACTGGGCTCACGCCGCAGGGGGATGGAGACGGCTCCCTCTTCCTGAGCTCTGGGGGCGGCCACCCGGCCCCTGCCCCCCTCCCGCCTCCCCTCACCTGCTCCTCAAATCCCAGCCTCCCCACCCCAATCCATCCTGGGAGAGAGACAGCAGAGGCAGCGACCCCCTCTCCAGCCCTCGCCTTCTTTCTCCCCCGGTTGGCTCCCACCCCAGCCTCCCGGTCCCCCAGCCGGGCATCTCCCTCCTTGTCCTCAGCCCCCCGACCTGGGGAGATTATGAGGGAAGGATGAGTCGGATGCTCCGCTGGGTGTTGGTAGCTTTCGTCGTTTTCTTCGCCCTATTCCCACAGCCTGGTGAGTGCCCCCCCTTTTCCCCCCAGTCCCAATCGGAGGGCCCTGGTCGCAACAATCCTACCCCACTCCCCAGCCCCCCGGCCAGGCCCTTTTCCTCTACTCCAGCTCCGGCCCATCTTCCCTGCCCCCCCCTCCCCCCCCGATTGCAGTATATTTTTGCTGCATCCACATTTTTCTGCAGTGTGTGTGGGGGGAGCACCGAGTTTAGGAAGGTTGAGGTGTGCCAAGGAGCCATCCACCCACCTGTCCCCATCCAAACTGTCTTTCTACCACGGCCACCCCCCTGCTGGGATGCCCAGGTTTCCCAGCTCCCCCCATGGGACCTTGGAGAAGGGGGTCTGTAGCGATGCTTGGGCTGGAATAAAGGAGGAGGGCCCATCTGGTCCATCGCTCCTCATCATTGCCGACTGCCCAGCACAGCCATCCCCTCCCTGTCGGTGACCCTACCTCCTCAGGTCTCCACAGGTGACACCATAACGCTAGGGTTCTGGGGAGTCCATCATCCTGTTCATGTGTCTGTCCCAGTGCCTGTCCCCTGTCCCCTGTCCCTTATCCCCCACTGTGGTGCCTTCCCCCCTAGCGGATGCTTTGTCTCTGCAGGTCTTGGTGGGATGGCTGGGCCAACAGGAGCCCTGCAGTGGGGGAAACAGCCCTGGGACAGGGGGCTGCATGCTTCTGAGGTCACCTATCCCAGCCGCCTGGTGGGGGAGAGCTCTGGGAGAGAGGTCAGCAAGCAAGAGCTGGACACCAGAGCACGCAAGGAGCCCCCTGGGGGCCCGGTGAGTGGGGTACCTTAGGAAGGGAGCACAGTTAACTGGATGGCAAGTTTTGGGGAGAGGACTTGCTTCCCTAGCCTCCTGGATAAGGGACATAGGGAGTGAGGGTACCCACAGGACAAGCCTGAACTTTCCAGCTCTTCTCAGGAAGAAGCCCTGAAGCCCTGCCTCTCTTGGGCCGCAGTTTCCCTTTCTGTAGGGAGGTGCTTAAGGGGCTGCAAGACCTGGTGAATGGCCGGATCTGCTAAGCTCTCTAGACTCATCTCCAATTGCCCTGGTGAGCTAAGTGCTTGAAAGACTTGGCTGGGGGGAAGGTATCACTTAAGTTCTAAGCTCTCCATCCCAGTCTCTCTGCTATACCCCGTTCCCCAGGCTTCTAAATTCCTTTTCCTTGAGAGAACAGTTTTGTTACAAAACAGGGCTAACTTTGGGCCTGGTTGGGGTATGGGAGAGGAGGGGTAGTGGTGAGGGAAACTTTGAATCAAGAATTAAAACTCCTGGGTTCTTTCTTTGGCCCCAAAATCTCACTGAGGACATCTCAACTCTATTTATGGTTCCCTACTTTAGGGTGGAGGGACTTGTCAGTCCTTCTTCCTTCCTTCCATTGAAGGCAGGGTCTGGAGTGTCCAGAAAGTGCTTTGAGATCCCCTGCTAAACCGTTGCCTGCCAAGCCCTCCCACCCCCACCTGCTCCCTTTCAGCTGCTGTCCCCTAGGGTGTCTCAGAGGAAGGTTAAGAATGAAAGAGATTAATTGTAATTAATATTTAATTAATATCATGTGAATAATAACCACCAAAATGGAATATTCATTTGGAGTTCTGGGCAATCTTGAAGCTTTGGGGGAGGAGGTCAGGTACCAGACCCTGAAGAGGAGGAGGCCAAAGCCTTATGGAGGACATTGGGTGGGACCAGCTATACAGAAATACAAACTGAAGGACTTGGAGGGTGTAGCTGAGGCCTGAGCGGGAAGAAGGAAGGAGGGCAGAGGGGATATATGTTGAGGGAGGGGAAAGGGGAAGTAGGAAATGGAGACTACCATTATAGACATCTGTCAGTCTGGCATCTGTCCTTGGCTAATGTATTTGGTTAAAAGCCCTAACAGAGGAGTGGGGAGGGTGGGGGGGATGTGGTGGAAGGAGGGGGAGGACTGGAGATGGAAGAGAGCAGGAAGAGAACATGCATAATAGATGGACCATCACTCAGGGTGGTGGGAGGGGGGCAGGAGGGGGATAGATTAATGGTCCTGAGAGCTTGGGGAGTGGAGGGGAAGGAAAGGGGTCTAGTCAGGCTCTACTTTGGTCTCCTGGGGTGTGGGGGGAAGGAGGGGAGAGGGAGGGTTGAGAGATGACCTGAACCAGGGGCTAGACACGTAGGCTCCTGAACCCTCCGTCTGGGGGCTTAGGAAGGAAGCTGGGACACTGGATGCCCAGGTCCTTGTTCCTTGGTGTGATGGCCTCACTTGCACACCAAGTCCCCCCTGAGAAAGCAGAGGGGAAGACATGGGGATGGCAAATGGAGAATATTGACCTACCTGTCCCTTGGGCCAAGGTGGCATGCCTCCAGCTCTCTAACCCAGCGGCCGCCACTCTCGGCTTCTATGGAGGCTGACCTGGTTGGAGGACAGAAAAAGGGACAGTCTTGAGAAGGAAGACAGATGGGGGGGATGGAAACAGGGACACCAAAGCTAAGGAGACTGTTGCCTCAACCTAGTTTTCTGAGTACTTGATCTAAAGTGAGAAAGAGATTGGGGGACTGGGGTATATTGAGACATGAGAATCATAGATTACATTTACGTCAGACTTTCAGCTTTACAGGGTGTTTTATATACATTATTTCACTTGATCCCCAGAATAATCTTTGAAGTAAGTGCTATTACTATTCCCATTTTACAGATGGGGAAACGGAGACTGAAAGATTTCTTAACATAGCTTGTGTTTGAGGTAGGATCTGAACCCAAATCTTCCTGACTCGAGTCCGCACTCTGTCCGCTACACCTGACCATGAATCCAGAGTAGGAGTTGCACCCTGCAGGGCACCTTGCCATCCAGAGCACTGCAGGATTCAAGGAGATGCTAAGGGATTGGGGCCAGGAAGAGACTGGAAGCCCAGCCCCCTGGTTCCTCTCCTGTCAAATATTTTGGGCTAGAAATATACTTTGCTTTCCCTTGTCCTTGGGGAGCTTATGGTCTTGTTGGGGAGGCAAGAGCATTATTCAAAGTACCCAGCCCTGTGGAGGACACATCTATTTCCCTCTTTTCAGTTCCTGCCCCTTTGACCTTTCCAACCCAGGCTCCGGTGTGGTTTGAGGTGGGCAGTAATCCTCAGCCCAAGGCCCATCCTCAGTCTTTATTACCTCCTGGGGAAAGAAGGGGCCTTCTGCTTCCCTCTTGTCATTTTTTGTTATTTCCCAGGTTTCCAAAGCACTCAATAGACTCAGAAAATAAAGGATAAGGGGGGGCCATCCAAGCTTGTGCCTGTTGGGGGAAGCCCCCCCCCCCACCCCATGTAGATGCTTTCTTGTGAGTTACCTGGTCAGACAGAGGTGGGTCCTGGGGCTTAAGTGCCCACATGGTGAAGGATGAACATTGGGTCTTTAATATCCCTTTGAATAGTACATTATTTGGACATTATTACTTGGATAGGATTTGGGGTCCCGTGTAAACATTTATGCTTAGGGGTCTTGACTGACAGCATATAGGGGCAGTGTGTGTTAAGAGTAGATAGGTAAGGACCTAGTAAGGATAACATATGACCAGCCTGAAGGAACCCCGGGTTCTGTTAAAGCACAGGGCTCAAGGATGTTGTGTGTGTATATTTGTGTGTATGTATGTGTGTATAAAAGAAAAGGAGACCAAAAGGAAAAAGGAGGAGAAGGAAGGCAGTGTGATATAATGAAAATAACAGTAACCTCCAAGTCAAGAGACCCGGATTCGAATTCTGATTCTGCCTAAGTGTGTGATTCTAAAATCTGGCCTTTTTTTTTTTTTTTTTTAAGGCAATTGGGGTTAAGTGACTTGCCCAGGGTCACAAGCTAGTAAGTGTCAAGTGTTTGGTCTGAGGTTGGATTTGAACTCAGGTCTTCCTGACTTCAGGGCCAGTGCTCTATCCACTGCACCACCTACCTGCCCCTAGCCTTTTTTTTTTTAATGAGAAAGTTGGACTAACCAGGCTCTGCCAGTCATGCTTTCACAGATTTATAGCTAGAATTTATAAAGCTAAATTTATAGCTAGAATCTAATCTAACAAAGAAACTGAGGTTAGGGAGTTTAGATGAATTATCTAACCTTCTAGAGTCAGTATTTGAACACAGGTCTGATGGCTCCAAAGCCAGCCTCTTTTTCCATTGTATCATATTTTCTTTCTAGACCTTTGTAGATTTGGAAGTCTATGATTCAAAAATGAGTACATATAGTCTGATGTGGCCCTGGGCTACATTCAGAGTCAAAGGACCTGGATTAGAATTCTGACATTGCCACCAACTCACTGCGTGCCTTTGGGCAAATGGCTTTTCGTGGCCTAAGCCTCGGTTCCCTCATTTAAAAGGTGAGATGGTTATAGGGATGACCTGGGAGTGTCCCACCAGCTCTGTCGTTCCCAGATAGGATGGCATCAGCAAACAGTTGTGAAACATCTGTGGAAGTTTGGAACTAGATTAGAACCAGGACCCAGAGAAACCCAGAGCTGCTTAAGATGCAATTTACCTTAATATTGGAGTAGGTTCTCAGGAACTAACTACAACCATTTGCTGCCTCAGGAGTTCAAGGGGGCTGAAGAGGGTCCAGCCAAAACTTAGCTTTGCAGGGAACTAAGTGTAAGAAGGCAATGCAGATTTCTCAGGGGAGGGGTCGGATTCGATTGAGAAGTCTGGGTTCAAGACTGAGGAATGTACAGGTAGAACATATTGACTAGGCTGGGCCAGGCTGGACTTCCATACCCATGGTGTGTACCTGGTGTTCCCGATCTGTCTGTCTCCTCATAATCCTCCTGCCTGAAGCCAGGTAGTTCTATTACCCCTTGGCATCACTGGCCTGCTCCACCTGCCTTGTCATGGCAGAGGGCCTCGCGTAGCTCAATGAAACTAGGAGCTGTGGCGTTCAGGGTTACCCAAGACGGACAGGTCGTAGTGGAGAGTTCTGACAAAAAAAATGATCCACTGGAGGAGAAAATGACAAACCACTCCAGTATCTTTGCCAAGAAAACCCCATGGACAATAATGGAGGACAGAAGGGCCTGGGGTGCTGTGGTCCATGGGGTCACGAAGAGTTGGACGTGGCTGAATGACTGGACAACAATAGCAAAATCACTGGCCTGAGAGTGTGCTGATAACAACACCTTGCAGGCACTATACACAGCACAACTTACACATCTATTATCTAATGATGATCATTTTATGAATGAGGAAAATGACGCCTAGAGAGAAGTGACTTGCTCAAGGTCACGTAGTGAGCCGTGGCACGTTAGTGGTTGAGCCAGAATTAGAATTCAGGTCTCTAGGACTCTTTCTGCTATATTTTGCTTTCATCTATTAAGATGCACACATCTATTAGATTAGATGATCTCTGAGGCCCTTTCCATCCATAAATGTGAGATTATAATTTACAGAGTCCTTGTAGACCAGTTATCATACTACACAGATAAAGAAACAGACCGGGTCATAGGAGGAGAAGTAAGAGGAGAGAAGACCTCAAGTGGGAAGAGTAGAAGTGTCAGGGGAGGCATTGCCTTGGGGCTCGGCATCCAGATTTCCAATGCATCTGCTGTCTTATCTAAAGGCTGGGGCAGGTAGAGGAGGACAGTGCTGAGCCCTGGAGTTGAGGGTTTTCTAGTGGAGGAGGAAGATTTCATCTGCCACTTCCATTTTGGGCTCAACATTCTAGTTGTTTTAGGAAAGCATCGTGATGTGCTCAGTTCTGAGGTTGGGAAGGGATAAGGAATATGAGAGATTGCTGTTCATCCTTCGTTCTCAAAGAGGACCAGTGACATCACGAGGATGGTATCTTGAC